GCTTTCACCTGCATTGGCTTGCGTGGCAATGCTGGAGTCATGTTTGGGACACAAGGCCAACAGCTGATCACGCAGATCTTTGGCTAGCTCCTTTGGTCGCATGGCACACTGCGCTCGGCCAGTGTTCTTGAACACCGGAGTCGTGGGGTAGATTTGCTTGAACTGTGTCACATTCTCACCAATGCTGTTCACAATTGCTTTGATCTTTTCTTGGCTGGCAAGATTGGACCACAGCTGGGGAAGCAACCCATCACCCTCGACAGGTGATGCATCTCTGACTGTACGCATCTGGATATAGCATGTGTTTGGCAGTTTGTCGATGCGATGACCAAGGTTTGCAAGCTGCGCACGATCCTGGGCCATCCACCCAGTGAATCAAGCAAACAACACAACAAACCATGGGGGGCCCACGCAAGGAGCAAGAGCTCAACATAACATGCAAGCCAAGGCACAGCCAGTGCCTGAGCATCGGCTTCTTTCTTCAATCTCTTGGCTTCACGCGCAGCCTCTGCATCCGCCTTGCGCTTCTCCTTCTGCTCTTCTCGTTGGGCATCTCGAATGCGGGAATTCTTGGCTGAGGCAAGGTCACAGACACTGGCCACTGTTGTGTTGCACAGCATGCGGAGTTGTCCGATGTGGCCACCAATGGTTTTCCGCTGTTGCTCCAGGTCTTCGTCATTGCCAATCGTCAAGAAATGCTGAAGCATGCTCTTGATCTCGGCAGGCTTTCTCAAGAGATCAACACCACAAGGCAAGAGTGATTGGTCCTCCTGTGTGAGCCCAGACTTGACAACGTCGGCACCTTCAGCGTTAGGCTGCTCGGTGATTGCCGCCAACACTCTGAGCTTCACTTTTGCTAGCCGCATGAAGTGCTCGTAGGAGGGCAGGTCGGCTTTGTTGTCTTGTTCGAATATCTTGATGTCTTCAGAAGCTTTGGCGACTGCCTTGGCCGCATCTTGCTCACACTTGGTGATCGCCTTCTGCAGCTCTTCATACTTTTTTGTTCTCTTGCGCACTAGCTGGCGGTGCTTAGACTCTGCCGTCTTTGGGTTCTCTGGTTTGTCGAAGCCAGGGTTCTTCTCTGGCGTCTCCTCCAGCTTGGGCCTTGAGGAACCTGTTGATGGAGTTGACGGCTCATGGAGGAAGCGGTTTCCTTGACACTGTTGTGGAAGAGCTGATGGGATCACAAAGTCTTTTGTGGGATTGGAATCTTTTTCAAACTTCAAATATAGAAGCAGTCTGTTCAACAGCCAAGTTTCGGGTGGCGCCAGTTGCACTGCCTGTTCGGAATTGTTCGTCGGACCACCTTGGCATGTCCTCCTGCATCTGGCGATCCGCGGCCTCCATCTCTTGATCTGTCGCCCGCCTTGCTTTTGTACCCAATTCACGCTGCTTGGCATAGCCGCTGATGTCTTCTCTGATGATGTAGTCTCCCTTCGGGATGTAGAGACGCAGTCTGGAGTTCTCTGGCCCAAGCTGGTCTCGAAGAATGTCCTCATTGTTCTCGTATTCGTTCCACTTCTTCAGGATTTCATCCTCACCGTAGCCCAGTTTGTTCTTTGCGTGCAACGTGTACTGGACGTAAGACATAGGCACTTCTTTCGCACCTGCCGGCCAAAAGGATAATTTGAATCGCCAACTAGTCTGGAGGCATGAGTACTCAAACCTTGCGCAACATGACAGCACATGTTCAGCAAGCTTCAACAACTCAGCCAAGCGCGACATCAACATTTTCAACATCTTTGTCAACATAGTTCCAACGCAGCGCTTCCTCTGTCCGGAATGACAACTGGCGACTGCAAGCCAACATCTGCCAACTCTGAATCCCCGAGCATGTGGACCGGTGGACCAAGCTGGCAACAGGCACCACAACATGCCATGCAAAACCACCTTCGCAACCAACCAAGGGACACAGCCTGAACTGTCACAACATGCGAGTCACGCAATCAACACACAACATGTACATCAAGCATCAGCAAGCCAATGAGCACCTGATCATCGCCACCGAACCCACTGACACTGCAATGCCAACCACAACGCAAGAAAAGCTCAGCCCAGCAAGAGCCAGCATGACCTGGCGAAGCTGGCACAGCGCCACATTCCATGGGACAGCAACATGCAAAGCATCCTTCAAATGAAATGCCATGCGCTATCCAGGCCAGGACAGCTGAAGTGTGGCCATGCTATTGGCTATTGAAGAACACATGCCACCTTGGGGGCCATGCCTTTCAAGCAGATTCAAGCATTCGGGTCAAACACTGCTGCACTATCAAAGGCTGCTGAAGCTTGTCCCGACCTGCCTCGACGCACTTCTCGGGCTTTGTATGCGGTTTCCTTGTACTGGACCCAGTTGAATCTGTCTCGTTTCACGCCAGCTCCTTTGCTAGCGCACTTGGACATGAATTCCGTCAGCATCTTCTTGCACAGCTCCCCATTGCTGCACTGGGACTCGTAGAATTCGTAGTAACCTGCTTCAATGGCGTCCTTTTTGAGGGCTTCAGCCTCTTTTTTGTGAAAGTTGCAAAACCTGGACTTCTGGTATTGCTTCTTGTCGCACATCATGCACGACCTGCCCTTCAAACCCTCCAAGGCAAGCA